TAAAATCAATTAATAAATTAATACATTTAAATATTATAACTAATTATTTATAAAAATTTATAAACAAATAAAACACTAATCAAATTAAACTGTTAAAAAGGATAACAAAATTAAACTTCACAGTCCATCATCACGTATTTTCCATATCCATCTCTATCTTTAATCAGGGCCATCAAAATGTCAAAACTCATCCTTCACTCGGATCTTTACATATGATTAAATGGAAGGCTAATGATTGAAAAACACCATCAACTATACTATAGTGGCGATACACCTAATAACTTCATTCCTTCTGACCTCTTCAAAGGCTAGCTAGTACTACAATAACATCCTAAATCCGATTACCAAAAAATAAAAAAACAAAATCCTACATCCCTAGGAGGAGAGAAATAACTAGCCATGTTTCACGGCCTCGCCATTGTGCTGGGTCTCCTGGTGAACTCAGTCGCCGGAGATGTTAATTTCACCTATAATGGGTTTCGGTCGGCGAATTTGAGCCTCGATGGTATAGCAGAGGTCACTTCCAGTGGACTCTTGAGGCTCACCAATGATACGGAGCGGCAACAGGGTCACGCTTTCTACCCCTTCCCAGTTAAGCTCAAGAACTCCACGAACGGTACTGCTTTCTCCTTCACGACCTCCTTCGTCTTCGTCATACTGCCACAATACCCCACTCTTGGCGTTCACGGAATTGCTTTTGTAATTTCACCAACCAGAGGCCGCCCGGGTGCTCTGGTGAGTCAATATTTCGGCCTATTCAACGACGACAACAATGGAAAAGACACCAATCATGTAGTCGCTGTGGAACTTGATACCTTCAAGAACGTCGAGTTCGAGGACATTGATGACAACCACGTCGGAATTGATGTTAATGGGTTGAAGTCCAACGTGTCCCATGGAGCTGGGTATTTTGTGGACGGTACCACCCAATTTACAAACCTGACGCTAATCAGCGGACGGCCAATGCAGGTTTGGGTAGAATACAATAGTCTAGATCAGAGAATGAATGTAACATTAGCTCCAATTAATGTTCCTAAACCCAAAGTCCCACTTTTATCTCTGTCCAAGGATCTGTCGCCAATCGTTAACGACACAGTATACTTCGGATTCTCATCGTCAACTGGTACGATCCTATCAACCCATTATGTTCTAGGTTGGAGCTTTATGATTAACGGCCAAGCAGAGGAGCTCGATTTTTCCCAGCTACCTAAGCTTCCTCGCAGAGGACCGAGGAAAACAACGAAGTTTTTAACAATTGGATTGCCTCTAATTTCTCTGACTCTGGTTTGCGCAACAGGGTCAGGGGTTGTTTATTTCATAAAGAAGAAGAGGAAATTTGCAGATGTAGTTGAAGATTGGGAACTCGAATACGGACCTCAAAGATTCAAGTACAAGGATCTGTATGTGGCCACAAATGGGTTCAAGGACAAAGAGTTACTGGGTTCCGGTGGGTTTGGTAGGGTTTATAGAGGAACATTACCCACCTCCAAATTGGAGATAGCCGTCAAAAGGGTCTCTCATGAATCAAGACAAGGGATGAAAGAATTCGTAGCGGAAATTGTTAGCATCGGTCGTCTACGTCACCGGAATTTAGTACAACTCCTGGGGTATTGCCGGAGAAAAGAGGAGTTGCTCTTGGTCTATGACTACATGCCAAATGGAAGTCTGGACAAGTACCTCCATGGCCAACCGAAGGTCACCCTGAATTGGACGCAGAGGTTTAAGGTCATCAAAGGTGTAGCCTCGGGGCTACTTTATTTGCATGAAGAATGGGAACAAGTTGTGATTCATAGAGATGTAAAGGCCAGCAATGTTCTCTTAGACAGTGAATTGAACGGGCGAATAGGAGATTTCGGGCTGGCGAGATTGTATGATCATGGAACGGATCCACAGACAACACATGTAGTGGGTACTGTGGGGTACCTAGCACCAGAGCACACCCGAACAGGGAAGGCCACAACCAGCACAGATGTGTTTGCTTTTGGTGCATTTTTGCTAGAAGTTGCCTGTGGAAGAAGGCCGATTGAGCCACGAGCTGAAACAGAGAATTTGATTCTAGTTGATCTGGTGTTTTCGTTGTGGCAAAGAGGGGAGATTCTTGAGGTCAAAGATCCAAAATTAGGGACGGATTTTGTAGCAAAGGAAGTGGAGTTGGTACTGAAGCTGGGGCTGTTCTGTTCGCATTCAAACCCCACGGCCAGGCCGAGCATGCGCCAAGTGGTCCAGTACTTAGAAGGGGATATTCCTTTACTGGACTTATCAGCACTAGGTCTGACCGCCAATGGCCTAACATTTGCCCATGGTGAAGGTTTTGATGACTTTGCCACGTCCTATACGTCTTCCACGGGTCAAGTATACACGCGTTCCTCTTCAATTGCAGAATCCCTACTTTCGGGAGGACGATGAATCTTAAACTTTTGTATTTTATTTGTGTTTTGATCTTTGTAGTTGTTACCAAATATGTTATACTATTGTTTAGAGTCTTTAGACAATGTAATAAGCTTTTCTCATTGTGAGTATTTCTCCTTTCGCTGAGAAGGGAGTTTGAAATTTTGAATAATCAATATAATTTCAAGAATGTCAAAGTCTACGATGAAATATATATGTGTGCTATTAGGATCATAGTAAAAACCATTAATGGAGCCCTCCCTGCAAGAGAAGTAGACATTATACTTAAAACCCTACTATAACCACAGTCTGTTCCAACATTTACAAAGTATTGCTCTTTCCATCTCTGACAAAAAATCACAGAAATACAGAATTACCCTTAAATAATTCCTTTTATCGATTCTGGAAATAACAAGATCAAATTACCATAAAAATGTGTGGATAGTTTACTCAGGTCCAAAGATTTCCCACCATCTAGTTTTACTCAGGTCCAAAGATTTCCACCATCAGCTTCCACTTTACTCTGAAAAGAATAAAGCAAGCAAGCCAGCATAGGTTTGCATATAAAGTCGAAGTTCTTGGTTGCAACTCATTGCCAAGAGGGGTGCAAAAGATGGAAACTTAGTCCAGTGTCGTATATCATTCTATGGCCTGTTAAAACCTTTTTAATCTGATTAAATAGGGGAAGTGGATTGTTTCAAATGTTTTTAACCTCTATGGAAAGAATAAACTGAGATCAATAGGACAAGGTTGTCGTCAAAGAGGCTTAATGATCAACAGTAAAAGAAAGAAAAAATAGGCATACATTGTTTCCCAATTGCCATTGTAGAAAGTGCAGTTCTTCATATCAACAATCTCCCCTTCCCAGGAGATCACAACCTGAGAAACATTAAAAAGAATACAAAATTGTTAAAAGTTGTCAGAAAGAAATTTCGCAAGCTACATATTTTTGCTTAACATTACACATAACATCAGTGTCTATGATTAACATTTGAAAGCAGAAAAACTTTATCCACAAGCTATAATATAAACTGTACCTAATATATATTATTTTGACTACTTTAACTATGTTCATAAAAGAGGATTAGAATCATATGATGTACATATTCTGGATAGTGTAATAAGACCGCAAGTTTATACACAGGACCAAAAAGTTGTTGCCCGAAAGAAACCATCTTACTGGTGTGTCATCCATAGGAACATTTAAAGCTTCCATGGTGCCACATAGATACCCACGTTAGAGGTCACATCCTTGTTAGTGCACATTAACTCTCCAGGCTTCCTCCTTTTGTAGACTAGGAGCATTCTGAGCACCTGTAAAGGCTTGCAACAAAAATATGCTCTGATATACTGCTTCAACAGATACAGATAGTTTCATCATCTATTATCGATAACAGAGGAAATTCCTCAAGCTCACCAGTACTGCCACGAAGGAAATAAGAATGAAAAGAAGAAGCAGCCTGGTGACAATTCAGATAAAGAAACAAAATCGCATTAAACTTACAGCTAACACAAAAATACAGAAGGCTTCTTGAATGCACTATCTGTTAGAGCAACTTTGAAATTGACACATGACCTAACCACGTGGAAAGTGTTCAAAGAAGAGTGTTAAAGAGATTGTTCCTGGCATTTATGCTCTATGAATAGCCAAAATTGGAGCCAATTATATCCCAATATTAGCAAAGAGATGAGATCATTTTGAAATAGATTGGCATATCAAAACATCAATTGACATGTACCTCAGTTAAGATCCCACGCCATTCTAATCGGGTTCAATTCATACCACCATACAAGCCAACAAGAAAAAACGCCACTAGCATAAAAACCCATCACTGCCTTCTAGTCTAGGCTAGATATAAAAACCAAAAACAGCCACTTATAACATTCATCACAATATATTCAATGCAGAGAAAACTAATTGTCACATAAGCATAAATGTCAAGAAATTACAAACTAAATATTCATTTGGTAATTAAAGAAGTATAACAAATTAAATGTGTGGGCTAAATTAAAAAAAAAAAAAATCCCTCCTTTCCCTACCTCCAAGAGATTACAAGCTGGTGCAGAACTCTGTTCAGAATTCACGCACCTTCAAATTCAAATTAACAGGGAATTCAGCACCACCATTGTATATATTAGTTCAAGGATAAATTGTTAGCAAATTTAAATGATTTATATCAGTGGATAAACCTATTTTTACACAATAATATTAAATAGATTAGTGAGTTATTTTATTAAAAAAATGCTCTCATTTGTACTAGTTGAAGATTTGTGTCAAATTTTTTAGTTTTGATAAGTCAAAGATAGGAAATTAAAGGACAATGATTGGTACACACTACAGTTCAACACACTACATAACACATTCATTAAAAAACCACTATTTTTTAGTTTAAAATTAAAGATAGACAAGTTTAATGATATAATTATGCACACATGATATATGAGTTGGTTGAATTGACTGTATTTATATTATATTTTTAATGACTAAACTGAAAGTATATAAAAAAACATGTTGAACTGAGGGTGTACCAATCACTTTTCGAAATTAAAATCTTTTTAAGTTATGCCCACCAAGTGTTTAATGAATTGACTAAAGGACTGTATTGAGTTTAGGTGCATGGATTATTCTATATCTTAATGGGTTGAGATATCTTTGTACATCTTTAATAAATTCGTTTCTTTAAGGATGAAAAAGAAGTGTTGGTTTCTTCCTTGATTAAGTCACTTACCCTAGTGATTTTTTTGTTATTTTTTTTCAATTCCCTACCATTGGTTGGGAATTTCCTCTACAGTTTTGATGAGGTTTTTATTCATTTCTTTGTTAAATGGTATTGAGGATTTATTCTTAAAAACTCTGTTATTATCTTGATCGAGTGTTTGTTTCTCTTTCTATTATGTTATTATCCATTTTATTAGTTGTGTTTATCATTTGGTTGGTTTGAGCATCAAATCGCTATAAACTTTGACTTAGTTTCACTCTTATTATTGGCTCCTTGTTCCCTTAATGAAGAATTTGTGTTTAATATTTAAGAATTCGCAGAAGATCCTTGGTGACGAACCAAGGGCATGTTTTGTAAATTTAGAGGATTTTGAAGGTTAATTTATGAAATTCAATAATTATTGTTTTAAGTTTAAATTTGATGTGGAGTGACATAACAAAAAATTTTAGCTCGCAAGTGGAGCCCAGATAAATCCGCCCATGGTTAGACTTGGACGGATTGCTAACATAATCCATTAGAGGAAGGCTATTTTGCTACCAATGAAAAGTTTGAGGGTGAGTTAGCACATGAATTCAATTGAGGGGGTAATTTGCCACTGCTTGAAAAGATGAGGGGTTAATCTACATGTTTTGTCTATTAATTTCTTATCAAACACAATAAAGTTAATAATTTAACAAAATTTTAATTAAATTTCATTAAAAAAACTTAGTAACTTTACTGGCTTATAAACTTTTCTTTCCACACTTTTTCAAAAGAAAAATTTTCCCTAATTTTTTTACTAATTTTTCTTACCAATTTCTTACCAAACATAAAAAAATTAACAATTTAACAAAATTTTAATAAAATGTCACTACAAAACTTAACAAATTTTATATAATATTTTTTTAGTAAAAGCTTTTCTAATAAAATTTATTTTTTAACCAAACATGCCTTGAATGTGAAATTTCTTGGTTTTTTTAGTAATCGTGAATAGAGAAAAGTGTTTGTCTAGAGACTCATTTTAATGGTATTGGTTTTAAAATTATTTATCTATTAAATTGTTAATTCATTCAAAGTATTTATAGTAATTTTTAAAATTTTTTTAGCCACAGTTAAGGATGTAATATATATTTTGTAATTAATTTGTATAAAAACTATAAATATTTTTAATTTAATTAATTGATTAATTAAAATTATTTAAGTGATAATATTGTTAAATAAAAATCAATTTTTATATTTTATATAAATTATTATAAAACATATATTTTTATTATACACTTAACTTTCATTTTTAAACAAATTTTTTTATGGTCACTTTTAATATTTTATTTATCAAGACATTTTAAGTTTTTATCATTTTTTTATATTAATTTTTTGATATTTAGTAATCATATTGGATCTCAACTAATTCAAAATCAAATTGTGTCGAATCTTATAAGGGCAGCGCTTATTTCTCTATTTATATGACTCAAACTTGAGATTTTGTTTAAGGAAAATCAAACTTTTTCTATTCAAACCAATAAATCTCGGCAGCTTTTACCATCTCATACTGTAGTATAATATACTCCCAATTTTGGGTTAAAACTAATATTTAGCCCCTCACCTTACAAAATTGGTAAGTTTTAGCCCCTAACCATATAATATGACATTGTTAGCCCTTTATCTTATAAAATTGATAGGTTTTAACCTCTCATCTTACAAAGTTGGTAAGTTTTAACCCCTCACCTTATATTATGACACTTTTAGCCCATTATCTGTACGAATTGAAGAAAATAACCTTTATTTAACATTAGGTTATAATATTTTATTAGTTCTATTAACTGACTGTTAGTTTTGGTAGTTGACTATTAGCATCTGTTAGCATTCTGTTAATGGAACTAACAAATAGAATTAAGTTTAAATTTCATGTTTTTTTATAACGGAATGCTAATGGATGTTAATAGTCAGCTAACGGAACTAACGGAACGTTATAACTTGATGTTAGATGAGGACTATTTTTTTAATTCGTATCAGTGAAGGGTTAAAAATATCATAATATGAGGTAAATGGTTAAAACTTATTAACTTTGTAAGGTGAGGGACTAAAACTTATCAATTTTGTAAGATAAAGGGTTAAAACTGTCATGTTATAAGGTAAAAGACTAAAACTTGTTAATTTTGTAAGGTGAGGGACTAAATGTTAATTTTTGCCCCCAATTTTGAAGGTGCACCAATTAGTCCGACTCCAAACAGCCATTGACGTTGACTTCAGTACTATACAAATCACAACATAGGCCTGTTTTGCGTACGAGTCTCAGACCTCATGAGTTACGTTTGAGGTAAAAGTGTTTCTTAACTTAAGTGAGTTTATAGGCAAGAAGGTAGATGTGTTAAGTATTTTAATAATGATTAAGATTTAAATTATGATATTATTATATTAAATATTTCTTTTTTTTACGTTAAATTGTACTTGATAAAAAGACGTGAATTTAAGAAGAAAGTTTTTATCAAAAAAGAAAAAAGAAAAAAGTGCTGAAATATTTTTGAAATTATTTAAATATATTTAATAAATTATTAATTTTTTTTGACAAATTAAAAATGTATAAATTTAGAAGGATAATGATAACGAGAATGAAAATTTAAAACCAATAATATAGTTTATACTACGTTATTATATTAGTTGATATATATAATTAAGTATTTTTTTAAAAAAAAGTAAAATATCCAAATTCACTCCTAAAGTATAGTGGTAAGAACGAATCCATTCCCAAACAAAAAAGGAGAACAAATTCACCTATAAAGTTTTTGACTTGAACAAATCACTCCAAATTTAACGTGTAACGTCATCTGATATCAATAATTTGTTAATTTGACGTTATTTGATGTCGGCAATCTATTAACAAATTAACAGATTACTGATATTAGATGATGTCACACGTTAAATTTGAGGTGATTTATTCAAGTCGAAAATTTTGTGGGTGGATTTGTCCCC